ACCTCACTTGCCGAGTTTCCAACAGACCTCACAACATCTTGAACATGCCTGCCATAGATGTGGGTGAAACGTCAGGAGAGAATGCTTCTAGAACATGGCCATACAGCCTGGAAAACTCACAGTAACCGGATGGTATTATTGATTTCTGCTTACCTGTTGTTACATTGTTGGAGTTGGAGCCTGGGGCATAAACTCCAACTACTCTTATCAACTGACTCATAGAACTGCCATTTGACACTCATTGAGTTAAAGCATGACTGGAGGCCCTTCCACACAGCCATATAACCTAAAATATCAAGGCAAATAATCCACAATATCTGCTTTGAACTGGGTTATCTGAGTCCACACTGCCATACAATCCAGTTCAATGTGGATTTTGTACAGCTGTGTGGAAGGGGCTACAGTGTATGGTAAAATACAGCATTCTGAACAAGGAAGGTACAAGACAAAGCAGTTATATCTATACTGTTATATCCATTTAAATAAATATAAGCACATACTTATTATCCAGTTCCCAGATTTTCCTGTTTTGAAATGAATATATTAATATTTACATGCATTATATAGTCTTGTTTTCACCACATAACGCTATCCTATCATCTTCCTGCGATTCTTTGTATTGCGACAAAAGTTCTGTCAGCAGAATTTATTCTCACGTAATAATGGAAGATGTCTGTTTCTTCTCTTTCTTTCTATCACACACAAATGTGGCACATAACCTTGCAAAGGCAACAGCTGGCATTAGTTCAAACACCCACCGTCTGGCAGTGCTGATAATATAGACTTTGCTCTGCTTGAAATTACAATGACAATCATAATGCTTTGCATCTTTTGTAACCATCATGTATGAGCAAACTATATTTACTCACTGGACAGCATTATCCACTGAATGACCTAAATCAGTCTTCTTTCTGTTGCTACGAGCTTGTTGCTTACACAATGGAGCTCTGATGAATTGTTTGAACACGACAATACTGGCTCTTGCAAACATGCAAAATATTGTTTTAAGCCATATGCAATACATGTTTATAGGAAAATACTATGAACCATGCTGTTACTAGAGATTTGAAAGCTACTTGGGACCAAATGTAAGAACAATGAGAAGATGAATTGTAAACATGTAAAAAATCAAACATATATACACAAATCAACATTAAGACAATAAATAATATTTATTGAACTCCTGAGAGTAAAGCAGATTTACAAAGATTAAAGAGGGTGGTGTTAGCATTTCTCAACCTGGGAGTCGGGATCCCTGGAGGGTCGTGAGGGGGTGTCAGAGGGGCCACCAAAGACCATCCAAAACCTCAGTATTTTCTGTTGGTCATGGGGGTTTTGTGTGAGAAGTTTGGCCCAATGCTATCATTGGTGGGGTTCAGAATGCTGTTTGCTTGTAGGTGAATTATAAATTCCAGTAACTACAACTCTCAAATGTCAATGTCTATTTTCCCAAACTCTACCAGTGTTCACATTTGGGCATATTGAGTTTTTGTGCCAAGTTTGGTCCAGATCTATCATTGTTAGAGTCCACAGTCCTCTCTGGTTGTAGGTGAACTACAACTCCAAAACTCAAGGTCAATGACCACCAAACCCTTCCAGTATTTTCTGTTGGTCATGGGATTTCTGTGTGCCAAGTTTGGTTCAATTCCCTCATTGGTGGAGTTCAGAATGCTCTTTGATTGTAGGTGAACTATAAATCCCAGCAACAATGACTCCCAAATGACAAAACCAATCCTCCGCCACAACCCCAACTGTATTAAAATTTGAGCATATCGGGTATTTGTGCCAAATTTGGTCCAGTGAATGAAAATACATCCTGCATATTAGATATTCACATTATGATTCATTAGCAAAATTACAGTTATGAAGCAGCAATGAAAATAATGTTATGTTTTGGGGTCACCACAACATGAGGAACTGTATTAAGGGTTGCAACATGAGGAAGGTTGAGAAACACTGGTTTACAATGTAAGAGGAAAGACATAATTTCTAAAAAGACGAGGGGAAAATACAGGAAACCGAAGAAACAAATGCAATTCAGAAAGCCAAAGTTCAGATGATCTTTCTGAACTTCATGAAGATGAAGACAAATGAAGTAATTAAGACATTGGAGGAGAATTCACTGTACAGATAGGTACGGCATGCAGATAGGATGCAGAATTTCTCTTCGTAAAATGCAGCATAAAGACGATCAGGAGAATCAGGAGAGGAAAGCAAAATGGGGTGGAAGAGACAGCGGGCAAGGTGGAAGAAGGGAGGCTGTTAAAGGTAAGTAAGTGTCTTTTGGCACCTATAAGACTAACATTTCTCTTCTCATGAATTTTAATGGATTCCAATTGGCTTCTACACAGATGATGCATTATACTCTATGGGCCGTAATCCATAAAACCTGGTGCTAAAATTATTCTCCTGGGTTTAAATGTGCCACAAGACTATGGGTTGCTTTGCTCAAACAGACTAACACAGCTGCCCCTTTGAAAACAACTTAAAAGAAGAATAAGGATGTTGAATCAAGACACATAAATTAATAGGAGAAAGTTTAGCAAAGGAATATAAAAACTGTGTATCTCTGAAGCCACTCTAACATCAGTGTAATAATGATGTCTTGCATTGACAGAACAAGTATGACTTACCATAAATAATTTGGCATGATTTCATTTTTTTACATGTTACACTCTAATTGCTTTAATTTCTTGGACAGAGAAGAAAATCCCATTAATATGAATGTAAAGCTTGTCCTCCCTCAAAACTATAGCTTCATCTTGTAGTGTTACAAAGTTCTGCACTGCACTTCATGCAACTGAACTTTTGAAACAGTTCTTCAGAATATGATCTAATTGCAGTATATGTGTGTGTGTGTGTGTGTGWGAGAGAGAGAGAGAGAGAGAGAGAAATGTTTCCCTTAGACATTACATCTAGCTGTGTCCAACTCTGGGGGGTGATGCTCATCTCCATTTCTAAGTTGAAGAGCCAGCATTGTCCATAGACGCCTCCAAGGTCATGTGGCTGGCATGACTGCATGGAGTGCTGTTACCTTCCTACCGGAGCGGTATCTATTGATCTACTCACATTTGCATGTTTCCGAAATGCTAGGTTGGCAGAAGCTGGGCCTAACAGTAAGAGCTCACCCTGCTCTCTGGATTCGAACTGCCAWCCTTTCGGTCAGCAATTTCAGCAGCTCAATGGTTTGACCCGCTGTACCACTAGGGGCTCCATATATATATATATATATATATATATATATATATACACACACATACACACACACACACACACACATAAACACAGACACACCCCCACACACATTTGGATGCATTTAAAACACACACACATTCAAATCAATTTCTATTCCAGGCTAAGTGATGTATCCAATATAACTCTCCACCCTTGAACAACACCCACCCAATTGCCAACACATGAAACCACCAACATGTTTTAAGTGGAAAGCCACATGCTGCAAAGAAAGACAAAAAAAGAATGTTCTTTCACTGCTTAAATCCTATAATCTCAAAGTAAGAAGAGAGGGAATACCCAAATCCCTCTCCTAATGGTTGCCTAGGAAGAATATAATTTACTAGTCTCTGTAGGGGGCACTAAAAAGAATGAATGGATAGGATTTAGAAGATACACAAAAACTGGTTTTTCCATGTATTGGGAAGAAAGTCTCTTTAGCTAAGATAAATGAGAAACAATAATGACTATAACCAGGATCCAATACAAATTTAGCACAACATAAATATGCAATAGCATAGTTGTCCTAAAATGTGAGTGTGGCATTGTGATTTCAGCATTGGTCTGCAACCCAGGGGAACAGAGTTTAAGTCCTCATTTGGCAGAAACCCAGTATGCATTTTGGAAGAAGCTTTCAGATAGTCTCTGGAAGAGTCAGGATGTTTCTGTTTATTTATGCAAGGCTTGCCTGACTATGTTTCTTTCTTTTCACATGTGCACAAATATTAGTTATTAAGAACAAGTTTTCTGAAATATATTGAAATGCTCTTCATGTCTTTTTGTACTGTAGGAACTTATGTCTAATATTTCCATATTATTTCTACTTCAGGTACCAACGTTTCTGTTAAAGAAGTAAAGTAAAGCCCAGGAACAAATCTAAGTTTGCTAATAGAGGGCCCATCCACACAGCCATATATCCCTGAATATCAAAGCAGAAAATCCCACAATATCTGCCTTGGCTTGATAGGTGTATTGTGTCCAAATTTGGTGTCAATTCACCCAGTGGTTTTTGTGTTATGTTAATCCCATACCGCTTTTTTTCATCTGTGGCAGGCTAGACGGCTGGCCCCCTATCTGTCCAGGGACGGCCTAGCTACGGTGATCCAGGCTACGGTCATCTCAAGACTGGACTACTGTAACGCCCTCTACATTGGCCTTCCTCTGTCGGTGATCCGGAAGATCAAGTTGGTACAAAATGCAGCTGCTCGGCTTCTTGCGGGAATTCCGATGAGATGCCACATAACCCAATCTTACTACAGCTGCATTGGTTACCAATTGAGCACCGGATCACTTTCAAAGTGATCGTACTCACTTTTAAGGCCTTGCATGGGTCTGGGGCTGAAGTACCTGAGGGACCGCCTCATCCCCTACCAACCCCAGAGATCCCTCCGTTCTGAGGACCAAGATCTATTGGAAATTCCCAGTGTCAAGACCTAACAGCAGCCAGACGCAGAGCCTTTACAGCAGTGGCACCATCACTCTGGAATATTCTGCCACCTGAAGTCCGTGCCCTGCGGGACTTATCAGCTTTCCGCAGGGCATGTAAGACATACCTGTTTCGACAGGTCTTTGACTTTTGATATTGCTGTTTTTAAATTGTTTTAAATTGTTTTTAAATTGTGTTAGATTTTAGCCATTCTTGTAAGCCACTCCGAGCCCCAGGGGAGTGGCGGCATATAAGTTCAAATAATAAATAAATATTACATTTTTATTTATATAGATTATGTTCCCCTACAGGCTGAAAGAAAAAAAGACTGATTGTTACATACCGTGTTAAAATTTGGGAAGAGTCCAACAGTAGAACTGCCATCCATTGGGAAAGGCATAAATGGTTTGATATCCAGAGAGGGTTGCATCATCAGCGTTGGTGTTCGGACAATAGGAAGTGTAGTAGTATGGCAAGTGCTGCCTGCGGAGAGGGGAGAAAATGAAATGTTTTCTTTTTTTAAAAAAATTGTACACATTAATTGAAGATACACTTGTATCCAACCCTCTGTAGCCATTAACCCTATCCACATATTTCTTTCATGTATTCCAGTTGAATTAAATATTATCAACACTGGAAGAATTAATGCCATCATAAAATCACCACTTCCTTATCAGACTTCTACACAGATGAAAGTTCAGAGTATGCAAAACAAACAAAAGGTACTGAAGTTATGTTGGCGTGTGTAGGAAAGGTCTGTTGCACAATTTAAGTGCTCTGTCTAGCTGAAATGTCATGCACAGGCACCTATTGAGACCAGATGTCTTGGCCATTTACTGTTTGCTCTGTGATCATCAACCAAGGACTCATGCCAAGCTGAAACAGAGAGAGGATTTTTCCTTAGTCTCTATGAATATAGATTTTGCGCATGCATAATTTGGTAGTTTTTGAAAAAACCTGTATCCCCTTCTGGCTGCCTCTCAAAAAGATGGCATGTATGTAAAAGCAGGTTAATTGTGGCATCTCTAGTGATACATCTAGAAACATCATACTAGCGGTACCCATGGCATTTCCCAGCAAAACTATGCAAAATTTATGACACTGAATGAATCGTAGTAGTTCATTCACTATACTGGTGTTTTAGTACAGATAGGAATAAAATAAAGTATAGCTGTTTTGATGGGAAGCTAGAGTATACTTGGCTCCAAATCTATGCATCTCAACTACTCCCTGAATCAATAGGCCATATATGAATGTTGGCTGATCAAATTCCTCTGGATTCCATTAGTCTTTTCTAATCAAGGTTAACAATTTGATTTGATGGTAATGCATAGGAATATGGTGATGAAACTTCCCTCATACACATACACACACCAGTGAGGAAATCACATATTAGACAGATGGCAAGCTCTTTAACCTCATCAGGCTGAGAGCAGAAAGCAAGCTAACAACAACTTCTGTTATAGAACTCAAATATGCTGATGATAAAGTAATACATGCTCATTCAGAGGAAACTCTACAAGCACCTTTAAACACCTTTGCAGAACCATATGAAAAGCTCTGTTTCTTAACATCTAGAAGACTCAGCAGGCACCAACCAATCTCTGCAATCCCAAAAATAAAGCTTGATGGAGTAAAGCTAGAAAATGTTGATCATTTCTACTACCTTGGCAGCCACCTCTCCACAACAGTCAACATTGACGTTGAAACACAATGCCACCTGAGCTCTGCGAGGGCAGTATTTTTTTTTCCGAATAAAGCAATGAGTGTTTCAGGATCAGGACATTCATACTGATATCAAGATGCTTGTTTATAAAGTTATTATCCTTCCAACTCTATTGTATAGCTGTGAAACATGGGCCATCTACAAAAGTCACTATCAACTTCTGGAAAAATTCCATCAGCATTGCCTTTGAATAATTCTGCAAATCTCTTGGGAAGACAAGTAAACATCATATTAGAAAAACCACCAGCATTCTCCACGTTGTTTGAATGCCCGATCACTATTTCTCAAACAGTTGCTTTATTCTCAGCTCAAGAATAGAAAACAGAATATTGGTGGAAAACAAAAGAAATTTAAAAATGGGCTCAAAGCTAACCGTAAGAAATGTGGTATAAAAACCAAGAACTGGGAAGTGCTCTAATTGGAGGTCAGCTGCTATGGATTTTGAGAAGGCATGAAAAGAAGATGGATGGAAAAAACATGCCAAGAGTAAGGTGCATCAAACAAACCCTTGTCATGACCACCTTCTATCTGGTAATCTATGTCTTCACTGTGAAATATTATATGGATTCAGAATAGGTCTCCACAGTGACTTACTGCCAAGACTTCACCCTTGGAAGACAATCATACTCAGTCATGAGTGCCTATGATGATGATTTTTTTTGTTGTATCAGGAGTGACTTGAGAAAATGCAAGTCGCTTCTGGTGTGAGAGAATTGGTCATCTGCAAGGACGTTGCCCAGGGGACGCCCGGATGATGAAGGTGATGATATATAATACTGCCCTTCTCCAAACAATGGATCCAAAGTGACCCACAACCTTTTCAACATGTAATACAATGGGAAAGCTTTCAATAGAAAAGTTAAAACACGGTGAAATAAAAATCAAGTTAAAACAGTAGATAAAAATGCAGGTTAAAAACACACATAAAATGTAATAAAACAGAAACTATTTCCCTGATTAAAAGCTTGGTCTGCCTTGTTATATTAAAAACCAGCATCAATATCTTTCCAAATATGTACAATAAATTGGATCTACTGTATATGAAATTGCTAGAAGTCTAAATCAATGGTTGGGAAACTGTGGACTATGAGTCCACTGTGGACTGGACTATAACTCCCATCATCCATCAACATTGCTTGTGCTGAGTAGGGCTGATGGGAGTTGCATGAATGTCACTGTTGCTCATCTTCTTTGAGTCCTATCATGTCAGGCTATTTTTTGGGCTGGCAAGAACAACTTTTTCCAATCAGTCTCATCTGGGTGCCATACATAACTAACGACGGCTGGTCCAAGATGCGAACTAGTGCTCGGAGACTTGCTCCATCCTACCTTTACTTCCTGAGGAATCCACAGTGCCAGCCCAAAAGGAAGCATGCTTTAGAGTCATACGAAGAATTAGATCTCTATCTTTGCACTGTATATGGTTCACCGCAAAGCAAACCACTGTATCTCATCCCCTCACCCTCTAATCATAGCTACAAGCCCTTTGGTAGAGAAAAACTAAAATATAAAGGAGGAGTCTGGTGGATAATTGGAATAAATACATTGTGTGGGGCAAGAGGGGTCAGCCACTGCCTAATTCTTTCTAAGTTGCTTGAGTGTATAAATCCCTTTCTTTGAGGTGTACAATTTTCTTTTATCTGGTTCTGTGGCTCAACAAAAACTACATTGCTTTTCATACTCAGTTTTATTTTTCTGTCTAAAGAGCACTGTCCCTATTCTGGTCTTTTTTTGGTCATCATTATCCATCCTGTTTCTTTTATTCTTGGTTTTCATGCCTCTGGCCTATCTTTCCTCTTATTGTTTTAATTGTACTTACATTTCCATTGATGGTGCTTTACTTTTCCTCCATTTTTTGGAGCTCATAAAGGTCCATCAGCCTTTCTGCTTTTTTATTCCTTATTTTAATACTTCAGATTTTCTTTTATTGGTCTTCTGTTAATTATTATGTCTGTGCTGATGACATTCAGTTTTCAGGTTTCTGTTATACTATTTATTAATTTTTCAATGTGTCTTTTTTACTGCTTGCTTTTGGATCTTTGATCAATCTTAAGAGCTACACGTTAAAAAAGTAATGTCTTATTTTTTTATTGATTAGGAAGCTAGTTTCTTTTGGTGTTCAAATCCAGCTGTTTTTTGGGGTCTTTCTCTCTTTTTTTGCCTCAGATATCAACATTTGTTGTGACAAGTCATTTTTGGTTGACAGATAATGACAGATAGCGTCTTCTTCTTCTTGATTTTCATCATGCATCGGTTCTTATTTTGTACCAAATGGATTACTGCAATATTCTTTGAGCTAATCTTGTCTATTTCTACCTTAAAATGCTGGTTTCTCTTGCACATCCCGCTGCCTGTCTTATTTTTTATGCATGCAGATATGATCATGTTTCATTTCTCTCCACTAGCTTGTATTTCCTTTTAATATTCAGTTTAAGATCCTGTTACTTATTTTCAAATGTATTGATTCGATGGCTCCTGTTCATCTTTCATTTCCAATTTCTTCATGTTCTTCTCTTCTGACCTGAGACATCATTAGACACTGAATACCATTAAAAATGATATGCCTGCCCCTCCTCCTAGCTTCTAAAATATCATTACTTCAGTCTTCCAAAACACTATTACTCTAACCTCTTTGGATTCTGTTACAAGTTTTCTAGTTTTACATTGCTTGTTAAATTCCTATCTCTCTTTTCATGTCCATGTGTCTCTTAGTACTTTCAATTTTTATAAACTATTTTAGTTTCATTTTGTTTCTGGAATATTGAGATCTAAATTAGATTGCACACCTCTAGTTCCAGGCCTGTCTTTCTTACATGGTTATATCAGCTTACATTTTTCTTGAAGACTCAAAATCTCAGGTCGGGTACGTTCCTGGATTTAGCTCTTGATATTAAGATTATTGGTGTTGGTTAGGAGTACATCTATGCAGTTGAGGGTAGAGAAGTAACTGTGTTTCTAAAAAGGTCTGATTTGGGCATGGTGGCACATACCTTAGTTATAACCTAACTTCAGGTGGGGCAGTTTCTAAAATGGGTCCAAAAATTTCAACTAATCCTTAAGGCCGTGGCCAGACCATTAATGATTGGTCAATTAAACAGAACAAACCATCCACTTGTTCTAGCAGATTATTCCAGCTGCAGAACTTGCTTACAAGAAGGTCAGCGGTTCAAATCTGCAGGATAAGAGCTCCCGCTGCTAGGCACAGCTTCTGCCAACCTAGCAGTTTAAAAACATGCAAATGTGAGTAGATCAATAGGTAGATCAATAGTAGCTCCAGTGGTAAGTTAACGGCACTCCATGCAGTCATGCCAGCCACATGACCTTGGAAACATCTATGGACAACACCGGCTCTTCAGCTTAGAAATTGAGGTGAGCTCCACCTCCCAGAATTGGACTTGATTGGACTTAATGTCAAGGAGAAACCTTTACCTTTACCTTCTGTACACAGTTTGAAGTGATGGTTAGAATCCCACAAAAGCACTATATGTGACTCTGGATTATCTGAAGGCCTATAATTTCTCACGGAAGTCTGCCTGGGTTTTAAGATCTTCTCTCTGCCAGAATATCCTAAGGATCACTCCAGAATGACCAAAGATCTTGGGATCTGGAGGGAGTTATGGCATCATTCTCTTAAGCTGGGATGCTCTTAAGTAGAGGTTCCACTGTACCTGCTGAACTATCAGCTTCTGGTATATTGTATCTAATACAATACACCAACAACTTCACTAATAATTATAACAAAGATTATTGCTATAAA